AAAAAAAAAAAAAAAAAGAATTACGATCGTGTAAAGCAAATATTTATAGAAATTGAATAAGATGAGTAGTATCAAACATTTGAGAAGATTATACATGAAATAAGAGTAACATCACTTACAAGATCAATGACTTGTTCACTTAATTTATCATGATAATTAAATTGGTATTCATTACCTTATTTTTAATTAAATAAATTAAAAAAATAAACTTGATTATAAATTCATTATCTTATTGGTTACTATCATTCACTATGAAACTAATAAATAAATACAAAAGTTATTTATAAAATTCAAATATTTAATAGTTTGTTAGCTTATGTCAAACATCCTCATGTTACTTAATATATGATTATCAATTTTAATTATATTTATTATTATTATACGAATATTAAACATTTTTGTTAGATATAATTTTTTTATGGAATATTAAATATTTTTTACAGATCAAATTTTTGACGAAATATTAATCATTTCTGACGAATATTCCATAAAAAATCTCTTGTTAGAAATTATGAAATTTTTATCATTATCTATCGATAACATTTTGTCAAAAATTTTTGACTTAAATATATGTAGAAAATTTTCGTAAAAAATTCTTACATTTTTTGTAAGACCCGCTTCTTTTCTTCCTCCTTACCCTCAACACTCTCATTCTCCCCTCACTTCCTTTTTCGTTGGTTTCAAATTCTCAAACTTCATTGTGGTAATTGTTGTGGTTGAAGGTGTGGAGTAGAGACGTGAGGAGCTAGTCGGAAGCACGGACCTCCTTGTTCTTCTTTCCTTTCCTCTTCCCCGAAGCTTTGATTTTTTTCTTTTCAAGGTAAGGGAAGTTAGATTGCGTGCGGATTGGTCGTAAGTGAGTTTAGGAGCTCAAGTGATGCTTGAATTCAGAAGATTAATGGTTGGATTGAAGAGTTTTTCATTTTTGGGGCTTCGGAAAAATTGGGGAAAATGGTGATTTTGATGCGTTGATGGTTGCATGTTGAAATAGAGCTTGTTTTTGAGTTGTATGATGCAAATGTAGTTTATTTTATGGATTGCTTTGGGACCAAATTGAGACAAAAAATTAATGAGGGACTAAAAAAAATTATATGAGACTAAAATAGGGTTTTAGCAAAAAAAAAAAAACTTTTAAATCTTAAATATCCTATAAAATAGTTTTAAATTCAATAAACTTTTTTACTTCTAAATCTTAAAAAAAATGTATTTAAAATAATCCCAAACTTTTAATTGTTTGATTAAGAAAATAAACGTTTGAAAATTTTGCAAAAAAATACATAATAGAAAAACGTAGTTGTAATAATTAAAAATAAAAAAGAATTTAAAATGAAAATTAATGAATAAACACGAGATGTGAAGATGAGTGAGTGAATAGGGTTTAAGGCGAATAGGGTTTGGCGTAGGTTTGGGAAAGGGAAAGGCGGTGGTGAGTGGCGAGAAGCGAGAAGCGAGAAGCGAGAAGCAGGCTACGGGTGAGAGTGGCATGGTAAGGTGTTATGTTCAAAAGCATTAGCGTCAATGGAGGAGGAGAAGCGGAAGCAAAACAAAGGAGAAGGTGGAGCCTCTCATGCATTCCATTCCACTTCACTACCTCGTCTTAGGTACCTATTCTCCCTTCAACTTTCTCTTTCTGCCTTTCACTCATTAATTCAACTCCATTTACATTACGTTTCTAGGAAACAGCTTGACCCTGAAACCACCACATACTTCTCAGAAATTGCCAATCTATTTGAAACTGACACCGTGGAATTCGAGGAACGATCTCTTATATGTGCTAATGCTCTCGAAGAAACCAAGGGGAAAGAATTCGAAATTGCAACCGATTATATTCTTAGCCACACTTTGGAGACCATTCTCCAGGGTTCTCATGTAGACCACCTTTGTCATTTCCTTCGCACTTCTGCTAACGTTTTCCCCTTCATTGCTATGGATAGATCCGGCTCTCATGTGGCTGAGACCGCAATCAAATCTTTATCTGCTCATCTCCAGGACGACAGTGTTCGCCCTCTCGTTGAGGAGGCTTTAACCATCATATGCAAGGTGGAAAGTCTTTCATGTTAGTTTAAAGCATTTATTTCGTTTTCAAAGTATGGGCGTCTGTAGGCTTGACTGTTAACAAATCAAACTAGACTTCTGCTTTAAATGTCAATTCTTTTACATATATATGTAATTTTGCAGGTGATTGCAGCAAATTCTGTTGATGTAATGTGTAACTGCTATGCCTCTCACGTGCTCCGGACTCTTCTTTGCCTTTGTAGAGGAGTACCATTAGATAGGTGCGGATACTTTTTATCAAAATCAACTACAGGATTAGCAGAGCGGTTGAATTCGAAGAACTTTCCTTCAAAGAAAGATGACACAGCAAATTTTCAACCTGGATTCCCAAATTTACTGAAACTACTTGTGACAGAGATGTTAGAGCATGCTAAGAAATGTATTAAGACACTACAAGTTGACCAATTTAGCAGTTTGGTTTTTCAGGTATCATTTCCATCTCCCTCTATATACTGTGCTTTAAATGAATACTTATATTCTATCAGGCTTGGTATTTAGTATTGGGTGGTGGTGGAGTGCATGTGGCTGTTTTATACCGTCTTAGCGTCTAAAGTCTGGTAATTCCATATGTGGGGTTGATATTATGATGGAGCTTCTGTGGGGTTTTGCCTTCGTTTGGGTATTTTGTTAGGATCTTCTTGCTTTAGAACTTTATCATACTGTAAAGAGATTCTGAAATTCATTCTTAACTTTGTTATCTTGCCTCCTATGTTTAAAACATTTTATATGCTGCCATTATGTGCTTACTGTTAGTATTAGCTTTTCTCTTTGATTCCTCCGATCTCACTGTATTTTCTTTAATTAATGGCAGACAATGCTAAGGGTGCTGGCAGGCGATGATGAAGCATTGTTACATGTGATTCCTGTCCTTCTTGGCTGCAAGGATAATAAAAAAGCAGAGGACAATTTTATAGAAACTACAGTAGTAACAGAACTCAAGAATTTGTTAAAAGAATCTAAATTTAGCCATCTAATGGAGGTGAGTAACATATTAATGAGGGAAAACTGTATAATTAGCTAGTGTAGTGGAAGAATTTGTTAATAACACAAAGAGAAGCTCAACAGAAACTACATATTATCTGCTAATTCTTATTTTAATGATTTTTTCGAAGAGAAGTTTCATATGTTCCTTTTGTACCGTCTATAGTAAATGTGAATTTTTGTTATGATGTTTAAGTGTAGAAGAAAACAAGAATTATATATGTTCCTTCACAGTAACCTTTCCACAGGTATAATCTCAAGAACTTTTGTTAGTCCCTAAATAATATCTCTCGGTGGACAGTGATCTGAACGCTAGATGTCATGTTTTGGTTGTAAATTGTTTTTGTGATTCATCAATATGATGTATATTTTCATGTGCCATTATATACTTAACAATTTTATGCTTGTGCATTTCTTTATGGAGGCCTCAATGAAATTCTTTTTTCTAAAGAGATTCTGAGTTAATGAAATTTTTAAATCTTTTGCAGGTTGTTTTGGAAGTATCTCCCGAGGCCTTGTTCAATGAATTATTCACTAAAGTATTCAGAAATTCCTTGTTTGATTTATCATCTCATCAGCATGGCAACTTTGTTGTTCAAGCATTAATTTCTTATGCAAGCAATCAAGATCTGGTATTATGCCTTCATGCCATTTTTCTTTTTAATCCTGAACATTTTCCTCATCTTGTCAAGGGTGGCCACCATTTAATTTTATATAGGACTGGTTGCATAATATTGCATGTACACCATTTGCCTATTCATATTCTTTTCACAATGCCTATTTGTGCTTTAATTTTTTCTTTGCAGATTTTTTTCCGATGTTTGTTTTTAAGATTTTTGATTATTTGGTAGATGGAGTTGATTTGGGAAGAACTTGGGCCAAACATGGAGGGTCTTTTCAAAATGGGAAGGTCGGGAGTTGTTGCTTCACTTGTAGCTGCCAGTGAAAGGCTTCATGTTAATGAACACAAGGTTTGCATTTTATCTGCGTTGTCTATGATGTGTATTCCTATGTACTTTTGTATTTGAGATTCTAAACTAATTTATTGCTTCTTAAACCTAACTAGAAGTCTACAATGAATGCTTCTAAATTGAAAAGTAAACAGTGTTACTTGCATTACATGCTCAAGTTATCTTATTTTCCTAATTTTGTTCTTCATCCTTGTGAAAACTTCATTGACCTTTTTGTAAATTTGGGGCAGTGCTGTCAGGTCCTTGCTGAAGCAGTGTGTCCAGTGGATGAGTCTCCAAAATGGATTGTTCCACGACTGTTATTTCTTGATAGTTGTTTCACATGGGAGGATAAGTCCAATTGGAGCTGGCAAAGTGGTGCTAAAATGCATGTCATGGGTTCTCTGATCTTGCAGATAGTATTCCGGTTTAGAAATGTAAGTGACTTTCTTGAATATTTGATGTTTTGGCTTCTTTCTTTGAGATCTTGCTAGTCCAAAAACATTAGATGCAGTTGTCAGCCTGAACTAGGTGGACCTTCTTATGTTGTGGCAGGTCCAAATATGACTAAGGGGTTGAGGGTGTATGAGCCGAGGAAAAAGGGTAACCTGTATTTGGGCATAAGTTAGTTATCTTGGCCATCTGTGAGTCTTGTAGAAGGGTGTTTATAGTCTCGGGTCAGGGTATCATTTTATAGAATAGGTTTTTCATCACTAGATTAATTCTTTTCCTAGAGATCTTTCATGAGGTTATATATGGAAGCTTTAAAGGAGAAACAAGGCTGGTCTTGAAGTTTTTCTAACTTCTAAGACTATTTATATCACTTACATCCCCAACCACCATCCTATAATTTTGGACACACGAGTCCTGCCCACTGAACTACTGGAAAATAAGTATTTTTACTAGAAGATGAATTGTCTCTACTTCTTGTATTGGTATCAATGTGAACAGTCAGTGGAATTTAATTCCTGTTCTTTTAACAAAGAATTTATTTAGAATACATTGACAGTGTAAAAGTTTTTTTGCACTGTCAACTAATTACAAATTGTTATCTATGGTAAATTTATTGACTTTAAAGATAACTACTTTAAAAGTCATACTTAGAATGGCTTTTTATTGGGTGACAATATAAAAGAAAACTTTATATCGGCAATCAAAGGTTGTTTACACCAGTATCTAGTAACATATTGTCATGTATGGCAAGTTCATTTACTTTTGTAATAACTAATTAACTACTTTAAAAGTCTTTCCCGGAAGTATCTTTTTTTGGTTTACAATATAAAAAACTCTTTACACTGACCGAACATGAAAATTAAACTCTTCAACAAAACAGAGTTAGAATGTTAGACTTTTCCATTCTGTTGAAATCCTTTAATGTCACTTAGCAATATAGCATAATGTTTCACGAGTTATAACATTGCTGTCGAACTTATTCCTTAGGTGAATATCTGGCATTCATTGTTCTTAAAGAAAAAAAATCATCCATTGTCATAAATAATGAAAACCATGATGAGTTTCAAGTGTTGTAGCCTGGTTTAATTCTGAAAGATTAAGGCCCTCCTTGTTTTAAGACAATTTTTCTTTCCATGTGTATTTTAGCTGAGATAGTAATATACATTCAGACATTTGATAGTTTGGTGAACATTTTATAATATTGTTTTTCTTATGCTTAAGGTATGTTTAGATAAGAAGAAAGAAAATGAAGAGGAGAGAAGTTAAAGAAAAGGGAGAATAGTTTTATGTTGTGTATAACCTAAATATTTTATTCATTTGCTAAATTCTGTAGTCCTGTGTTTTATTTTCGTAGGAATATATACAACCTTATATCACTAGTATAACTTCCATGGAAGCAACACATGTGCTTGAAGCAGTAGGAGATGCAAGGGGATCACATGTTATAGAGGCTTTTCTATGTTCAGGAGCTTCTGGGAAACAGAAGCGCAGATTGGTTAAAAAGTATGTCTTTCAACTATGTATTTTGCATATATGCTCTCTAGGAAATTCTTATTTATGATAGAGGAGTAATGTCATAAACAGGATTTTTAGATTGTTTTCTATTTCTGTATTAAACTCCAAAACTTTTCATCATTATATCATGTATTTTATGGGATTTGTGTTCAAGTTTTATATCATTGATGCATGCACATGAAACGAAAGCAATTATGTGGCAGAAATCTAATTTATTTTATTCAATGTTAGAGTTTGAACCTTTGTGGATTAGGATCCTTTAGATAACTTTCTTTTGACTAACATTAAACGGATTGAAATATCTATTGAGGTACATTTAAAATTGAGTGGGTGTTTAATTCCAAAATTGAAAGTTGATGACTCTAGTTGCCAAAGCCTAAGTTTAGGAGGGGTATGTGTTTTTTTCTCCCAACGCTTTTACCTTTTAACAATAATTTTTTTTTAGATTTCTAGTTAGAAATATCAATAAATCTGTATTTGATGGATTTCAAAATTGTTACTTTATTGTCTTCATCTTTCATAACCTGTTTTGTAGACTACAAGGGCATTATGGAGAGATTGCACTCCACTCATCAGGTGCTTTTACCATTGATAAGTGCTTTACTGCCAGTAATCTGTCACTAAGAGAAGCTATAGTGTCTGAGATGTTGGCTGTGCGAAATGAGCTTTCCAAGACAAAGCAGGGCCCTTACCTAATAAGGAAACTAGATATTGACGGGTATGCTGTTGACTATTTAGTGTATTATAGAATTTCCAAATTACTGCTTTCTATTGAGAAAATATTTTTAACCTCTTGTCTACTCGGTTTATGAATTAGAGTATGACATCTGATGGAAAGTTGTAGTACTGAATGTTGTTTGGTTTCAGATGAGTTTATCGAAGTTAATCTTCATGATTTATACCATGCTTTATTACAACAGATTTGCTGCGAGTCCTGATCATTGGAGGTCAAAACAAGCATCCAAAGAATCCACTTATAAGGATTTTTATACAACGTTTGGTTCCGGTGATAAAAAGTTGACAAAAAATGATGCCTTTCTTGCTGACACATCAAATAATAAATCAAATAAAAAAATTGTAAAGGAAATGAGGAAAGAAATTGACCAATCCCTAGGTTCTGCTGCACCATTTCTGAGCATCCAAAACTTCAAGAGCAACCCGAAAAAAAGGTCTAACAAGGTTGAAAGTGGATTTGATATTGCTGCTACTGCAACAACGAGGAAGACTGCGAAGAAACGACAAAGAGATGGTGACCTTTCCAAGGCTTCTCTGAAGAAAGTGAAGGCATCAGATGCGTAGAGTGGAATACATTTTTTTTCCCCTTAAAGAAGAAATCGTTTTGAAGAGGATGACATTAAGCATGTCCGCAGGGTCCCAAGATTTAATGTATGATGGTTTGAATGATTTCCTCTTTGCTAGTAATTTTGTATCATTTTACCATGTCCCATAGACTATGTAACAGAAAAGAGCAATTGCATTAAGAAAGGTAGTTACTGCAAAATATGATTTTTTTTTTTAATTCCTTGACGCCTCCTTCCCCCTCAACCCAATATACCGTGTTTTGCTCGCTCGATATATATATATATATATATA